GGGGCTAACTGTCGGCCCCTAATTTGAACTAACCCTACCTAATGAGCGTTACACCACTGACCGAATTATACCTTGACGTTTCGTCAAGTTTAATTCAAATTAGGGTATTTTGAAGCTAAATTTGTTTTTTAAATTCGTCCTTTTAGTGAAAACAAGAAATGTTGAATAGTCTGCTGCGAGGAGACATCGGCCATTGTAATGAATGGATGATAATGTGAGTCGCTGGCAAACCTACAGCCCCTACTGCGATAGGCAGTCAAGTATTTTTAACCGGCACATTTCTGTTTTTATTTCCCCTATTTTATTTTATGTTCATAAATATCATGACTCATGACTTTAATGTTGGAAGGAGTTCCCACTCAACTGCATGCCTTCTGAATAATAATTATAGACTCCATTTTACATGCTACCATTTTACCTGTGAGAATTTTTTGAGATTTGAAAGCTATTGCTTTCAACTATATAGAGCCCAACTATATGTCATTTGCTCTGGGAATAAATGGGTGTACTGTTTGTACATGTTGAATGGCTGGAAGTGTTGCAGGTACCTTGGGATATCTAATAAAGTTGTTATATTTCCGTTCTGTTTCTATAAAGGCCCAGCTTGCTATGGCTATATGCCTTAGCCTAAAAATTTCAGTTATTTTTCAATTAAAACATTTTCCATAAAGGACAGCTTGCTATGGCTATATGCCTTAGGCTGAAAAATTTCAACATTAATTAAAATTAGCATTTCACTATATTCCTTAAGCTTTTGAAATAGACATCACAGTTTATTGATATTTCAAATTTATTAAGATTCACATGTGTAAGATGCCCATGTGTGTTATGATGAAAGGCAAGTATAAAGTGCCATTCATTGGAGTAAAAGTGTATGTATGTTTTATAAAACTGTGCAGTAGTTTTACACAACTATATACAGCGTTACCAAACTGCATGCTAAAAGTTTCAGTTGACTGTTAGAATGGTGGCTTGTAATTGGGGGTATCTGGCTAGGATTTGACATTTAAATATTTACAAGTGTATTAGGTCTCTTAGGTTTTAGTTTAAGACCAACATGAGCGAGTGAGATAAACTCGACTAGCTTAGGTTAAGGCATCATGCGTCCACGCACTAGACCCCTCAGGATCGGACCCCAAACCTTTTTTCAATACCAAATGTGAAATTACCCCCACCTTACCGCATCATTGAAGAGTTATGGTGGATATTTTGGGCAAATGTGCAGTATCATCAGGAATATCTTGGGCAAATGTGTAATATGATGAGGGATATCTTGGCAAATATGTTGGTTAAATTTATCTTAAATTGCTAAAGAACAATGATGTTGTAAGGTTAGTGGATATTTATATTAGCGATAAAATCAGGGTGCGGTAATTCAATATTTTTAGCCGTACCTGACTGGTTTTTTTTTCCCGTGTAATTTTATATATTTAATAAATACGTTTACTAGTACGCAATATATTACACATAAAACTAAATGCTCCACATTCATTCTTTTGGCTAGTTCATGATAAACATTTTAATTGGATTGCTAATAACAGG